CCGCGCTTAATAGCTCTAAAACGCCTATATATTTATAGTATATTATCGCTATTTTCTAGCTTACTACCTAGGCGTTTATATCCTTAGGTATAGCCTTTATAGGCGTAGTATATCGTCGGTATAGGACTAGGGCTTCCTTATAGAGGTCTATAGGTATCGGTCCTACGTGCGCGTGTAGGAGAGTAATCTAGGCCTACGGGTTATTTACGGTGTTATCCTATAGCTAGGCGAGGAGGTTATATAACGTGGTATACATAGTCCCTTCGATATAAGAGCGTACCTCATTAAACTCCTTCTACTACGTATTATAGTCTGCCTTTTCCTCGCGGTATATATAGCGATCTTATAAGTAGCGCGTACGCCCCTTTTTAAAGAGGTCGTCGATAGATATAGGCGTCCTAGTCGGTGGTTCTTTCGTTACGGCTATAACCTTCCGGCGAGCGGCTATCTTCCTCTTACCGGCGGCTATAGCCGCCGTGGTAGCGGCGGCGTCCGTAGCGTCCGTGGCTTTATCGCCCTTTAGCGTGACGGTGGAAGATATAATAGCCGTGGCTATAGCCTCCTCCGCGTTTAGGTCCACGATAAGGGCTTCGTATTTACGAATATTAGGTAGTATAGGTAAGGGGAGGAGATAGGCATTAGCCTTCTTATCGCTTAGCTTTAGATTAGGGTAGTTATCCTAGTAAGAGGCCGATTTACCACGTACGGCGCGCTCCTAAACCGCCTAATCCCTTTAATTAACGAGAATAGTAGCGGCCGCCTTCTATTTAGCGTTAGATACGTTAGAAGATATCTTTATTAGTTTATCGTTTATCGGTTAGTTAATTAATAGGTAGGTTAATTAATCTCTTAATTACTCTAATTAGGTTAATAGGAGTTATTTAAGAGTGCTTATATAGACGTGATTACTTCTTTATAGTGGAATAGGGGTAGCCTTATTAATATCTATCGTTTAGGCGTTATAAACCGGGCTTATAACTATCGCACGTTAAAAAACACTTAAATAATTAACTTAGTAGAGTAGAAATCTCGTGTATATGTATTATATTAAGTTATATCTAGGAGAGTCTCTTATACCCTTAATTTAGGTGGTAAAGACTCTATTATAGGTACTAAGTCATTTGGATCCTATCCGGTCTTTTCCGGTATCCGCCCCTATTATATCCGAAGCCCTTAGTTATAGCGTGGATCCCCCCTGGATCCCCTATAGACCACGTCGTAGTCCGTGTGCCTATGCGATATATAGTGGTTCCTTAGTATTAAGGTTATTCGCGACCGTATCGCCCGTAAAGTCTAGTTATTATAACACGACTATGTTACTAAGTTAGAACGCCTATTAAAGCCGAATAGTAAGTATAGTAGTAACTATCGCCTAACGCACCTAATTCAGGTTATAGAGCTATAGCCCTATTTAGGGACCTCGACTAACATTAAAAGCTATTAACGGAAGATAGGATCTATACTATATATAGTAGCGATATCGCAGCCTAATATCGTGTTTATAGTATCTAGGCTATACCGGTTTAATATTAATCTAGGCCCTGTTTATTATAAGGCCGCCGATTATCTAATCCTTTATCTAATTAATAGCTAATTATTTATATTAGAATTAAGGGGTGGCGATACTATTAAAATCTATACTAACGCCTTGTTTACCGATAATACCCTCGATCGAAAGAGTAGTTAAGCGTATATAATACGCTTATTTAGCGATATAATCGCGTGGCGCGCTAATAAGCAGGATACGGTTATAACGTTAATAATAGAAGTAGAGCTATTAGTGTTAGTATAAGGTGTAAAAGAGGGTATCTTTATATAACGCCTATTACTTAATATAGGAGTGGAATTTAACGATCCGGAATTAAGGATCTTATACGATAATAATTAAACGATTCGATTAGTTAATTAAGAGATTAGCACGTTAATAACGCGCCTTTGCTACGTCGATATCCACGGCTATTAGTTACGGTAAGTAAAGAAATAAGGGTAAATACTTATAATATACGTTATAAGCGCGGAAATAGTGGTAGACGGATTAACGAAGGCGTTACACGGCGAGAAATTTAAGATATTTAGGTCCTAGGTAGGCGTAATAGATATACGGGAACGGTTATAGCAGAAATAGCTAGAGGAAGTCCGGATAGAATATTTAGAGGACCTAAAGGATGAATTTAAGGGCGGCTATAGCGAATAGATTATATAGCTAGATTGTCTGCCGATTACGAATAGCTTTAATCGCCTATCTAACGTTTAGAGCGATTAGGGGGTATATCGAATAGACTATAGTCGTTTCGGTTACGTAATAGGCCGGATTACTAAGAGTATAATCCGGGTGGACGCTTACAGAATCTATACTATATGAAATACGGTGGCAGCGTTTCCCTGCTGGTCTGAGACAGTTATAATTATACACAATTGCCTTAATTAAGTCTAGAGGAATGAAAAATCGATAATTCCGCGGTACCTTAACCCGAGTATTCCAATAGAACCACTAGTTATCCTTAGAAAAGCCCTCTTATCCTTAGTATCCGTTCTATTCTTTAATATATAGCAGGCCTTGATTATTAACCAATAGGAAGTACGGGAATTTCACTTTAAAGTGATTTCATTAGTCTATAGAAGTTCTACGTCTTCACGAAGCCATCATAAGAAGGCATAGGTAAGGGGGCAGGAGGCAGGAGCAGTATATAGGTAGGTAGGTTACGTAGTAGACGGTACGGTTATTCTGCTATATAACTCTACGATTAGGATCTTCTTCTTTTCTATAACTTTAAGATCGTTCTCTTCCTTTTCTATATAAAGCCCTCCTATAATAATAGCCCTCCTATACTAATAGCCCTCCTATAATAATAGCCCTCCTATAATAATAGCCCTCCTACAATAATAGCCCTCCTATAATAATAGTAAAGGTAGGCAGAGTCCTTCGACTTCGTGATAAAGAGCTAACTTCTTCTATAATAGTCCTCCTATGATAATAGCAGAGGTAAGCAGAGCCCTTCCACTTCGTGACGAAAAGCTAACGTCTTCTATAGCAGCCCTCCTATAATAACAGCCCTCCTATAATAATAGCAGAGGTAGGCAGAGTCCTTTAACTTCGTGATAAAAAGCTAACTTCTTCTATAGCAGGAATTCTTCTATAGTAGCAGTGGTAGGTAGATCTTTTCCACGATATCGTGACGAAAAGCTAACTTCTTCTATAAAGCAGGACCTCTTCTATATAGCAGTGCCTCTTCTATATAGCAGTGCCTCTTCCACATAGCAGTGCCTCTTCTGTATAGCAGTGCCTCTTCTATATAGCAGTATCTCTTCTATATAGCAGGACCTTTTCTATATAGCAGGACCTCTTCTATAGAAATAGTATTCGTGGGCGTATTTTAGAATACGGACTTTTTAGTTTTCCTAGAACACTGAAGACAGGCATAGATATAGAGTCTAATTAAATCGCATTTATATATATTTATATAAATTTTATACTAGTAATATATCTTATCCGTACTTACGTCTTATTAGCTATACTACCTCCGGGCTAAAGTTAGGATAGTATTATTTCTAAGGATAGTCTAATATCTAAGGATAGTTATATATCTTATCGATATAAACCGAGCAATAATAGGCTATACTCTAAGGGTAACTAACGCCTAGTGACTCCCGCTAAGGTAATTTATGAGGAAGGAGGTATCTGAGCGTAAACTACCTACCTACTGTCGTATCTCAAAAATGTACCACTACGTTAAAAGGGAATTCCTATATCTTATACATAGGGCTTATTTGAGTGCTTATATTCAATGCGACACACCCCCTAGGTTAGCAGGCAGTACTGCCTAGTAGGCTAGACAAGTCATCAATAAGCACTAATAGCTCTGACTGTCTGTCTTTTATTGTTTCATGGTTTTTCCACGTTTCGAATTAAGGTTATTTTTTGAAGGGTATGCTTAGTAATAACTTTACGCTAAAACGGCTACCGGGCTCATAACTGTCGCATCTCAAAAATGTACCACTACGCCAAAAGGGAATTCCTATATCTTGTACATAGGGCTCATTTAAGTGCTTATATTCAATGCGACACCTACTAGTGCTGTGAAGCATTGGCATACCAGGGTACTTTTGACCGGGTAGAAACATTTCGCTACCTGAGGTACTCACTGCAATCCCAACTACCTTACCTACCTACCTACCTTAGGTAAGGTAGAAAAGGCGGGTTATGAACCAGATGTGCCTCGCTTGGTACGATGGTATAATACCACTTCGCGTAGCGGTCCACACTCTCTGGTTTATGGTTATTACTAATTAGTACAGTGTGCCTAGTCTACCTTAGGTACCTGAGGTTGTCCAAGCAGGACGTCAGCGAATGAATCCAGAACGTCAGCCTTACGGATTTAGCAGGTGGACATCATCTGACCACATGTTTTTGAGCACTAGCTTCTGGATGGGGTCAAGAAAGGGGCCCCGTAGACGCGAGGTGAAATATGCACTTATGGGATCACCGGTGCAAACCCACGCAAGCACGAACAACAGTTCGTTGTTGTTAGAGTATACCACAGGTGAATGGTTAACGGACGCGGGAATAAGCTTTCCGTCAATGTCTCGGATGGTAGTTGCCCATCCGGGACGTCTGCCGTCACATTTACTTCCCATGCCACGATTCGTCTACGTCAGTACCGAGCCAATGCTGCCCGTCGCCAAACCAAGATAATGCTCTCTTATTCCTCGCATTGGGGATGCAAGATTTGCTTTTCGGCCTTGGGACATGACAAGCGGGAGACTTGTTCATACGACCGAGGCTGACGTGCCATGTCTAAGCCCAGAACTGGAATGAAGTTACGGACTCCGTATTTTGTAAGAGGGTCTCGGCAAGACTCCCTGAAAACCCACGGGAGTCTAAACGAATTGTTCTGGGAGGTCGACAACCCGCTTGAGTAGGAACGCATTTCCACCAACATACTCTCGGGTATCTCCACCAACAGACTCTTGTGAATTTCCGGTAAATTTTCACAGCATCTTCCATGTCTGCCGAAACCGCGTCGCCTCGCAACATCACAAGTTCCCGAGCTCTTATGCGCTGCAAACGCCTCTGACGTTGTTGAATGAATAAGCGGCACCCCACATCCTTTTGAGGGACAGGGGCTCAAATTTAGGTGAGCTTGAGTATGCGTCGCAGGTCGTCCTCCATTGCCAACAGGCCGGGAGGCCGTTCCGCCGATACGGAAGAACCGACGACCGGCTTGTTCGAAGGCCTCGCTTCAGGAAGGGGGCTAGGAGTATCGGTACTGTCCTGTTTGGGTCTTGGAGCATTAGTACTGCCCGGCTTGGACCCAAACAGATACCTTTTCAGTGCGTCAGAAGGGTCTTCCTCCCTGGGTGGACACAGGGAGCGTTCTGGAGAGGGCTGCGCAGCAGCACGAGCTAATCGAATGCGCTCTTGGTAAGGCGTGGCAAAGGCCGGGCCGACGCGACGATCAGGGGTGCCATCCAACTCGGAAAGAGGAATCCCCGATGTGGACCGGTAGGGTTGCGGACGCGCCCTAGGGTCGCTTCTGTAGCCGGCAATCGATGGGAGATCACGAGGAAATGAGTTAGGAGGGGATGCAGGCCCTTGGTCAGCCAGCAGGGTGCTAAAACTTGCTCGGCGCGCCCTTTCCTTCTCCGCCCTATCTGCTCTGAAGATGGCTTCGAGAGGAGACTCGTGACGACTAAGACCCACTGACAATCGGGATGGTGTTGGCGTTGGCGCATCGGCCTCAGTGGTAGGTGGCGAAGGCTGCTGCTGCCCGCCGTCTTGCGGCCTTGGAGACCCCGTATGAGTTTTGAGGAAACTTGGGAGGGGCAAGGCTGAGGGTGCGGGCGAAGCATGGAATGTGGCACCGGCGAAAGCGCTAGCTGAGCTAGATTTTGTCGCGGATGCAGAATGAGGTGGAGTGCGGCGTGAGGTCTGAGGGATATCGGGAGACGCAACAGTGTTCTTAGGATGATTCTTATTGCGTGGTCGAGACTTTGACGTGGTTGAGCTCTCGGTAGTCGAGGAGAGATCGAGAGCTTCAGAAAAAGGCGTCTTGGGGGTTAAGAGCTGAGAAGCTTGGGAAACAGTCGTTGCGGTTGGACCGGTCGCATCATTCTCAGATGCATACACCTTCTGTCCGACACTTCTGGACGCACGTCGCCCTTGGCGTCCACGAGGCGGGGTGGGTTTTTCTTGGGTAGTGATTTTTTGCATTCTCGAGCGGGCAAAGCCTGGCAAAAGGATAGATAACGGTTCTTGATAACCTAAAACCACGAGAAAACAATGAGGAACAGTCGCGCGCATGCAGGAGGCAGAGGCAAGAGGAAGGACCTACGTTTGGATCTCAGGACACTGGGAGCATCCTATGTGCCGAAGACAGATGGTAAAGTCGCCTGGAATGATTTTTCTCCCAAATACAACGGAGAAGTTAACAGGAAAGTGAGCGAAATATCTATGCGATGTCTTATAGAATGGCAAATATGTTAGGCGACCCGGGTTTATGGGTGTTTTGCCGAACTTGTGTATCCGTCGTGTCGAGAGCAAAGGTGACGAGGAACGAGGATGGGGTGGCGGGGAAGGCAGGCCTGGTGGAGAAAACCGTGTCGGCTAGGCTTATTATTAATAGCAAGTACGACATAAGATCAGTACTTTTACCTTGCTCAAGCTCATACGGGCATAACCAAACCATGTGATACATGGACGTGCTAGATTGATACTTGCATGTACATACGTGTACTTTATTTCAAACGCACCTTATACTGGGAGTACCTTATATGCATATGGGATGTACGTAGTAGTATGGCCTGTTGTTATGAGACTTGTATCGCACTCGTCGATACTGTATTCGTAGGTATCTTAGGACACAGCCAGCATGGTCTGTTACCAGGCCCGTGGCGCTTATCTCCACTAAACAGGGTAGGTACTCCAGTACCTCCCTACCTGGGGTGGCATACCTGAGGTAATGTTCTCCGTAACTTAGGTTCGGTGTCCACGACTCCCCGCTGCAAACCACAATCCAACGCTTGAGGACTTACGCTGTTTGGGATCTTAGATCGCAAAGTTCATATTTAAGCGAATACGAATTGAAGTCAACTGGCACGGTAGGTGCTACCTTGCCTCGATCATCGACCACCTCTCTGATTGAGCAAGAAGAAAGATTATTCAGTCAGGCGACTGGACTTCTCTGGACGCATCTTCGTCCGCAAGCCGTTAACCAGTTCAGCCCACCTATCCTACCTAGGTACAGTCAGGCACCAAAAACCCCAAAGCTTGTCCGTTGAGGTATGTGTGTCATCCTTACCTACTCCGCAGGTGCCTACCTTAGGTAGTTCCCCGGCATTATAATCTACGGCAAGGCCCTCCATCGTTTAACCCTCTTTCGGCTTATGTTTGGCCCATAAACTCCATTTCCCCAAGATGTCTCCCTCTGTATTCCCACGTCCTCATGGATGATCGCTCATACGCCTCTTGACGGTTGTCGGCAGGGTTTCAGAATCGACCCATCACGAAACCGATATTCTCCTCGAAATTACTCTCGTTGGCCGGAGAAGCAGCGAGCCCAAGCCCAAGATCAAGCTATAATGGCCGATGTTGACATGACCGACGCACCTGGACCCGCCGCCTCCAAGAAGACCGATGGCACCGGTGGCAAGGCGATGCAACCCAAGAAGCGATTCGAGGTGAAAAAGGTATAGGAAACAATCTTACGTGTTGGATAATGCTAAGAATGGACTGTAGTGGAATGCTGTTGCGCTGTGGGCATGGGACATCGTGGTCGACAACTGTGCCATTTGCAGGAACCATATTATGGATCTCTGTGAGACTCTTTCCCAACCTGATGCCTACGTGGTCGCAGTACACTGACAGCCTTCATCCACGCGCCAGGCATCGAGTGCCAAGCAAATCAAGCTTCCGCAACGAGTGAGGAATGCACTGTGGCATGGGGCATCTGCAATGTAGGTCAAGGCCCTCGTGATGATATAATCGAACGGTCGAAGCTAAGGAATTTTGCTACAGCACGCTTTCCATTTCCACTGCATTTCCCGCTGGCTTAAGACCCGACAAGTGTGTCCTTTGGACAACCGAGACTGGGAATTTCAGAAGTATGGTCGTTGAGTGAAATGCGGACCCTGCTACTTTTCGACTTGGGCGTCCAAGCCTTAGGAGCCATTCAGGATTAGGCTAGCGGTGCTCGCAGAAGGGTAATGTGCAATAGATACGCCAGATCATGGGAGGCTAGTAGTATACCTGGACGAGCATGGAGACATGGAACCCTGCGACTAGTAATTACGTAGCTAAAGCCTGGAAATAGCCGCGACGAAAGCCAGAAGGCGCGTGGCCAAATAAGAATGCTCGGTTGACGGCAGCTTTATTCTGTGGTTGTTTCTATCGCGACGAGTGATCTGCTGGCATATGCATCCAGCCACTTGATAGGGTGTCGGGTGAAGAAAGGCCAAGGTGGAACGACGACGAGGAAAGTCAGGCAGGTGCCCACTAAGCCAATGTATACCGCCAGTTTGATATCTTGCAGCGTGAACCCGACCATAAAGGAGAGAACCTGGAAGTGTTGAGAGCAGGATGTTAGAACCCAAGTAACAATCGAGTTCCGTGCTACTCTCCAAGGGATGGAGAAGACATACTGCGAACACTGATAGAAGCAGCGTGGAGAGCAATTCTGCTAGTTTCTGTCCCTCAAAGTCCTGATAAGCGGGTTAGCATAGCCTGCCTAGTGTATAAAGACTAGGTGGCGTACAATTTGGCCGTCTGCCAGATCCCGCAACTTGTCCAGGGCGTCTTGAGCCATGGCACCCAATTTGTCGTGGTTTCAGACACGACGAGACGCTAATTCAGAAGAGGAACCGTCTCTCTCTCGCTCTTTTTCTCTCTCTCCCTCTTTTCACGTCAGGCCTACCGAAACTCGTGGCGATAAGCGCATATATTGTCAGGTCGGGCGTTCGTAATGGGTATCGTAAGTGATAGATAGGTGCTTGGGAGATCATGGGAAGACGGGCGTGGAGAATGACCGAGCTGTAGATAGAAGCAGCTGAGGTGGCAGGATTGGCATGCTACTCCGTACACTGTGTGGACTACACTTTTGGTGAGTGTGTAAATAGAAGGTAGGCTCCTATAGATTAGGTAGGATAGCGGAGTAAGATAGATAATGATAATAATCTCCCGGCCGGATATCGCGTTTACGGTATCCTATCTATACCAATTTAATATAAACCCCGGCCTAGAGCACTACGCGGCTACCGATTTCCTTATTATATATCTACTTAGTAGCTAATTATATATATTAGAGCTCTAGGATAAGGATACGATTAAGGCTTATACTAATACCTCCTTTACTAATAGTAAAATTAATTAAAAGAGTACCTAAGCATTTATAATCCGGTTATTCGGCGGTATAATTGCTTAGCGCGCTAATATTTAAGATACGATTATAATATTAATTACGGAAGCAGGGCTATTAGTATTAGGATAGGAAGTAAAAGAGTATATCTTTATATAACGGCTACTACCCAGTATAGACGTCGAATTTAACGATCTAGAACTACAGCTCTTATAAAATAATAACTAAGTAATACACTGTATTAATTAGGAGATTAGTATATTAAAAACGCGTCTACGGCACGTGGATATCGATAACTACGAGCTACGAGAAGTAAAGACGCGTGGAAAGATCCTTATTATTTATATCGTGAGCGCCGAAATAGTAGCGGACGCATTAATAAAGGCGTTATATAGCGAGAAGTTTATGACTTTTAGAGCCTAGATAAGCGAAATAGATATATAAGACCGCTTATAGCAGAAAACGCTAGTAAAAGACTTAACGAGTTATTTAAAGAAACTAGAAGACGAATATATAGGCGGCTATGGTAGAGAGGTTATATCGGTTAGTTCCGAATAGATTTAATAGTAGATCTCCTTTAAACCCAACGTCGAAAAACGCCTAAACTCAGCTTTAGGGGCCCTAAACAGGCTATACAGGCTAGCAAGCTCGTAGAGAGGCCTTTCTTTTAAGGCTTTACGGCAGTTATATATAGCCTGTATAGCTTCCTTAGCTAATTTTAGCTCGCAGCTCTGGTAGGATCCTAAATCACCGAAAAAACACTTAGTAGACCGCCTGGAACGCCTATACTACGGCGCTTTAGCCAGGGCACTAGGGGCTTTTAGGGAGGCCCCCCTACGGCCTCTAGAACTCGAAGCAGCAGTTCCACCGGTAGCGGTTCGGTTATCTAGTGTTACGACGGCTTCCGGTCCTCTATAGTATAGCGGACGATAGGGGACTGGCGTCGAGGTTTTAGTTTAAAATAAGAAGAGGATATTAACTAAAGAGCAGTAACTGTCGTTCGTAGTGTTTGGTCGTAGTTGCGTCGTAAAGACTAGGCGTCTTCTTCACAAGGTAGAGTCAGACGTAGACTAATAGTCCAGGTGAAGACTTAGATTGATCGATGTCTTGTTCTCTAATAGAAGTAAGACCTAGGATACTCTGGTATATATATGTGTTTCCGGTGTCTGGATCGATATCCTTCCACTATGATCCTCCTAGGATTATGGGCTGTCCTGGATGATCCCTTCGGATTATAGGGATCATCTGTCGAGTCCTTCGATCTAATGGTCACGTGTCCGCACACGTGACCCGCGTTCCTCCTAACTCAGCTTGCCCTTCGTGCTATAGTGATATCTATACTTAAGACCCAGGGTCCCGTAGTGGCCTTGGCCCGGGCCTTGTCTTGTTGGCCGTAATATTACCTCCCTCCTTCTAGGTTACTATCCTAGTATCTATAAGTACGTGTTCCCCGCTCTTCGGCCTATTCCTCGTTTTTCTTTTCTGCTAACTGTCCTTCCACTATGTCAGGCCGTGTTAATAAATCTTCCTCGCGTCACCCAAAAACCGAAAGGCGTGACGTTCTTTTGCAACTTCTCCTCCAGAACCCTTCCGCCATGGATCGTCCTTATTCTTTCTGCTCCGAAAAGAAATTATCGTGCGCGACTTCGTCCGACTCCTCCCGCTGCCTTAGCTGCGTTAAAAGTAATCAGCCCCGTTACGACGCTAAGGGGCTAACCCCTTAATAACTTCGCAAAATCGGGGATAATTATTCGAAGGTGGAGGCGGAACTCGAAGCCGCCGAGGATAAGCTCGCGTAGTCGATAGCGAAGGTCTAACGTTTAAGAAGACAGAAAAAGTTATGGTTTAAAAAGATGATACGGGCGGTTTCCCGAGGTATCGATAGTGTGGAGGAACTGGAGCGTGTGGAGAAGGAAAAGGCTGATCGGGAGCGTGAGCGGTCCTTTAGCGGTCGTCCCTCTTCTTCGTCCTTTAAGCACCTTCCTAATAGTTTTATAGATAACTAGGATACCGTATACCCGGATATGGTTTTATCTCCTTCGGTGCTTACGGAGTTTAGCGTGGTGCAAGGTGCAGGAGTATCTAGCCTTAGGTCCTGATAGTGTTCTATCGGTATTGCTTCAGGAGTTACTTACAATTAATCAGGTTTTCTTTAGGTTCCCAGGTATTATCGCCGTGGTCGTAATTTTTCCATTTTATAAAATATTCGGTGCCGTCTAGTATCTCTCGGTGATCGAGGATTCGTTTTACTTCGTATATATCGCTAGTATCGACCACGATTATATCTTATATTATTTTTGCGTTTTTTAGTGCTAGTTCAAGTAGTAAGATATAGAAATTATTATATATCCTTATTATCGGAGGTAGTGATAGAATATAGTTCGTATCTGATTTTTTCTCTAGGATTTTAAACGGTCCTAATTTTTTGAAATCTAATTTATTATTTGGTCGCTGTGTTTTAATGTTTTTGCGAATAAGGTAGACGCGGTCCCCCCTTAAAAGGGTTAGTCCCTTAATCCTCGATTAATTCGTATATCTGCTTATTCGTGTCCTGACTATCTCTAGGTCGGTTCATAGTTCTTCGTGTAATTTTTTCATGCTTTTAACTATTCTTATCGCTCTTAGTGCGTCTAGTCCTTCTAAAGGTTTTCTAAATGCTATCGGGGTGTATCCGTAATTTACTTCGAACGGTGTTTTCTTTATTAACTCATTTAACGAGCTATTATATACAAACTATATAAGTGGCAGGTATTACACCTAATTGTCTTGTTTATGCCCTACGTAGTATCGTAGGTACTGTTCTAGGACTTAGTTTATAATTTCGGTTTATCCGTCCGTTATAGGGTAAAACGCTATCGAATACTTATATTTCGTTCCTAGCTGGCTTATAACTGCTTTCTAGAAGTTACTAGTAAAGAGCTTATCTCTGTCCGTGATGATTTCGTTCGGTGCGCCGTGATCCCTAATTAGGCGGTCGATAAAGATACTTATTAGTTCTTCTACTATAGTGTTTTTAATATATAGAATATAAAGAGTGTATTTCGTGAATCGGTCGACGATCACGAATATACTATTATAGGCGGTTCCTGTTACTGGATCTTTAGATACCGGAAATCCTGTTACGAAGTCTATTATAATCGATTTCCATAGTCCGTCTGCTATTAGTAGTGGCTTTAGTAGTCCGTAAGGTTTATACCGGCTACTCTTTGCTTTCTGGTAAATATCGTAGTTACGAACGAAGTCCCGGACTCGTTCTTTGGTTCCTGTGTAGCCGTATTATTATCGTAATCGGTGGTATATTTTATGAATTCCTTAATATCTATGTATCGGCGAGGCGTGTGCTTCTTTAAATATAGTATCGGTTATCCGATCGATACTGTTTACCTCTCTATCCTTCAGAGTAAGAGCTTCTCCTTCCTATTAGAGTATAGCTTACGGTTTAGGTGATTCGTTAGGCGTCCTTAGTCGGCTGAGTACGTCTATATAATTATTTTCGCTCCTTTTTATATACTAAATATAAAAGTTAAACTCGGCTAGGAATTCTGCTTATCGGATTTATCGTTTATTAAGAACCTTAGTAGTGGTGAATTACGCGAGGTTTTTATAATCCGTGTAGACTTATACCGGGTGTCTTATCCCTGACAGATACGGTCTCTATTCTTTAAAGGCTTTAATAATAGCTATTAGCTCTTTATCGTGGATTTAATAGTTAAGTTCTAGTCCACTGAGTTTCTTGGATATAAAGGCTATAGGGTGTAGTCTTCCTTCTGCGTCGCGCTGTCCGAGTTATGCTCCTAGAGCCTAGTCGGATACGTCTGTTTCGAGTTCGTATTCTTTATCGGGGTCTAGCATTACTAAGATAGGTTCGCTGGTAACCCTTCCTTTAAGAGCTTAGAATGCTTCTTCCATTCTCTCGTTCTATTCGAAGTTAAGTCCCTTTTTAGTTACTTTAGTTAAGGGGATCGTAATCTTACTATAGTCCTTAATAAATCGCCGATAGTAGTTTACGAGTCCGAGGAAGGACTAAATATCACGAATATTCTGGGGTCGTGGCTATTTAGAGACGTATTAGACTTTCGCTTTATCTATATAGATCTTATTAGGTTATATCGTATAACCTAAAAAGTTAACTTCTTACGTGTGGAATTGAACTTTTTCTGGTTCGACTAATAGGTCGGCGTCTTGTAGGAGTTGTAGGATCGTGTGAACGTGTTGTCGGTGTTCTTCGAGTGTCTTGGAGAAGATCAGGATATTATCCAGGTACACTATAACGAAGTAGTCCAGATACTTCCTTAGGACGTCGTTAATAAGTGTTTAGAATAATACCGGCGTATTTATTAGTCTAAAAGGCATAACGAGGTACTCGAAATATCCTCGCTTTATTTAAAACGCTATCTTCTACTCTTCTCCTTCCTTAATCCTAATTAAGTTATAGGCTCCTTTTAAGTCGAGTACCGTAAGCTATTACGCTCTAACTAGCTAATCTCGTATTTCTAAGATAAAAGGTAATAGGTAGCGGTTCTTAATAGTTATATCGTTAAGTTATCGATAATCGATATATAGTCGTAGTTTACCGTTTTTCTTTAGCATAAATAGGATTAGGTATCCTGCCGGTGATTATAATACTCTAATATAGCCTTTTACTAGTATTTCTTCGAGATATTCTTCTAAGGCATCTAATTCCTTCTAGTTTAGCCCGTAAATTAGAAAGAATTTTAGGTATATCCTTTCCTTTAGGGGTATCT